TTATATATTTAAATTTGAGAAACTCTTTGCTCTTAATGAAGAGATACTAGAATGGAAAGACTTGTGCTTTTCTTAGGGGTGGGTCTGTGGTCTATTCTATGGATTGATCTGCTCTAATTCCGTCTCTTTTAAAAGATATTGTCAGCAATATTGGTTCAAGTTTATTTAGAATATTGGTATCTTAAGTATGTTAAGAAATTTAAAATGTTTTATATTATTTTCCACTAGGAAACCACCCCTACTCCTAATCCCCCGCCTACAGAAGAGGAGAAAACAGAATCTAATCAGGAGGTTGCTAACCCAGAACACTATATTAAACATCCTCTACAGAACAGGTAAGCTTTCTGACACCTAGGTTTTCTAACTTAGGCAACAAGGTAAATGGTGAGCAGGGCAGGTTTTAAAGGGAACTTTAGATGAGACTAGTTTTAGATAGGCTAGGGTTGAGGGTTCCATTTGCACTTGGATGACTCATTATTAGCAAGCAGTTTTAAGTGTGAGTCTTGAGCTGAGAAAAAACTAGGTGAGAAGTTTGTTTGAAACTCAACAAGAATATTGGTGGTAATTGAAACCACAGCAGTAAATTAGTTTCTCTTGAGACGTGAACTTGGCTCAGGACAAACACCTGGGATAGCTTATCGTAGGGGAGTTTTGTTGAGGGAGAATGCCTACGAAGGATATAGATGGATAAACTAAGAGTGATGGTTATGGAAAGCAAGAAAGTGGATTCTTCTAAGGATAAGGGTGGTCAACGGGATATGTACTAAAAGTTCAAATAAAGCAAAGTCTCAAAATAAGCATTGGATTGAACAATTTTAAAAGTCCATGCTGATTTAGGAGAAAGTGTTTTAGTAGCATATAGATGATGGGAAAAAAGATTAGGGCAGTTTGAAGAGTGAATAGGATGAATACAGACTCACAGAGCAAGAACAGGTAACTTGAAGTTGGACTTGGAGAAAGGAGAGCAAGGAGTATGGAGTTTGGAGCTTGGTTGGTTGGTTTGTTTTCGAGATACAGACGAGTTAGAGGAAAAGGGAGAGACTAAGATGAGTTAAGTTTTC